GACGAGGATCTTGAGGCCACCCGGAAGGACGTGCTTCTGTATTTCTGACTGCCATTGGTGCAGTAAGTTTCGCGGTACGACAATAATCGTTGCGGATGAGAGTACTAATTGACGTGTTGGCGGGATTCGGGTATTCCTATTCATGCGTGGGATGTCTGGTGGTATCTCGTAGAATGGAACATCTCGATCCAGCGCATCTTTGATGCTTGTCATATCTCCAGCCCCATTCGCCTCAGACTGCTCGAGAAAGGATTTCATTGGGATTGAATGTCGGCCAGCGGAAGATATCGCCATGTCTGCCAACGATCCGGGTCGCTTGCGAAGAGGAGGTGATGGTCGGTATGCGGCTGGAATTTTGGGAAGATGGCCCTTACTTGCCAATATAACGGCCAAGCAGATTACCGTTTTCCCCAGGCCCATGGTCTCTGCCAGAATACCACCCCGGTTCATTTCGTAGTAGCGCGGCTCTTGTAGAAACGATCCATCTCGAGGCCCGAAGTAGAACTTCTTGCCATCAGGCGAGGTACGAACCTCCAATCTTGGATCAAGCTGCAGCTGTGGCGAAGCTTCCCTTTGCAGCATCAAGCTCGCCGACCGTGTCTGATAGGCGTATAATCTGGTCTTGAGCCCCGGTAGAGCCTGTTCACCATGCTCCGACCACTCGGAGACTGCCGCGGAATCTAGTACATCCTGTACGGCGGCACGTGTATAGCGACACTTGATCTTCGCCACATCCGGTGCAGGTGATGGCAGCTTGTTGAAAAGGTAGTATAGCGAGAAAGGTTCTACGTCAGCCCAGGGATCAAAGTGACGCGTCTCATCAGGCTGTGGGTCTCCATTCCAAGCACTCGGTGAGATATCAATTTGTTGGAGCAGTGTCCGCAAAGCGTTCTTCAAGCTCTTGCTATTACGGTCAACCGTACGACGACCCCAGTCTTCTGGCAATAAATAGATGCGAAGAAGGCCGTGGTGAGACGCATTACCAGGCGTTCCTTTACGCGCGAATATCCGGATCCAGTGAGCTTCAAGCAGTCGTGATGCTTCAATGCCGATGTTGGCCTTGATCTCGTCGGGAAGCTCTTGGTGCAGTAACTCGACCCAATCGCCACTAGATGGTGAGATTGAACTAAAATCGAATGCATGCTTGGAGTGAAGGCAGCCAAGTGCGATGTAGCGATGCATGTTCTGTGCACCAGTCTCAACACACTCCATGTTTTCGGGAGCTGATAAGAATCCTGGGGTAGCGGGCGTAGATGATCCCGTAGCAGCAGAGGCTCGCGCCGAAGATGAAGAAATGGATTTAGCATCGTCACGATCGTTCATCTGCTGATCAGCTGAATTGTCCATGTTCTTGCGTGCGGCTCGATGATCATAGCTGCTGCTTCCAGTCGCGCCACATGACGTGGGCGACGTGATTGTTGTAAGTCCCACCATCATCAACGTTCGTGATCATCAAAGTCAACGGGTAAGGCCGCACAGTCCGAGCAATGCGGGACAAGAGTTTGAGTCGATGATGGTAGGTGTGGTGCAGGTGAGACGGGAGGCGACTGCCTGGATGCCAAGTAAACGACAGTCGCGTTCCGCGCTAACCCCAAGCGTTAGCGCATCCCTCCAGTATCGCGTCCCGACTTCTTCAGTCCGGGCAATGTTCAAAATGTACCGAATGCACAATGTTGTGCCTATTTCGGTGGTTCCTTCTGATGGATGTAGAACCACAGGGATGCAGATGCGTAATATCCGGTGGTAAACATGTCTACGCGTGACGCGACCGTAATTAATCTGCTATATTGCAGACTAGGGTCACGTAATGCGAAGTTGCGACCACATATAAAGAGACCCGGGGACTGAATCGAGACACAGTCCTGCATATTGGGGCTTCGGGTTCTTCTCCGCGATGTTGTCGTTCTTTGCTCAAATCTTGTTGGTAGCATCGGGCGCACTCGCTGCGCCGGTTGAGAATGCTCAGAGCGCCGCAGCAACCGTAGGCAAGATACGTGGCGTGCGCGACCCAATTTATCATCTGTACTTGCAAGCAAGCGCTAAGAATGGTATGCCAATTTCCTTCTCTTGACATTCAGTCTTGCAACTTTTCCAAAAACTTGTTGACAACCCGAATAGCATCGATCCCTGTGCTGGGACCTGAAACTGCAGCTGACGAGTTTACCATCGGCGGCACCATCCAATCGAAAAAGACAAGTCAGTATCTGAACATTGCGACCGCATCGACAAGCTACAAGCCATTGGTCTGGGGAGCGACTGGTGACACTACAGCGTGGGGACTGGAGGGCGATACTATCATTACCGTGCAAAGTAGTAGTTATGGACGGCGTAAGTATTCAGAGGGATATGCTCGGCTTGTTCTTGGTGGTGCTAACATGTGTGTAGAGCTGAACTTCCTCGTATGCAAATCGGCTGAAGCGAGTTACTACGACTTGTACTTGCAGACTGGGAGCGATACGCCAAGTGGGAGGACTTGCAGCAATTACCAGACGATTCATCTACCGTGTTTGTGCTAGCGATTATGAATGATGGAGGATGGTAGTGTAAGCCAGACATAAGAGATCACACTGCGGCGTAGAAAGCCACAAAGTTTGTCAACAAGTCATTAAGGTTCGGTCCGATCAGTCATCGAGAATACTGAGTTGGTTTGTGTGGTGTCGTGAATATTCGCAGGCAGAGACGGCGAGATCGAGAGACCGTGGCCGCGGCAGTGTTAGCCCTATTGGGAATAGCGTCTTTGGTGCCGCACGATGCCCGCAGGTGGCCGGGACATCTGGATCCACCGATGATTAGTGACGTATCGACCTTGTTAACTCCGAACAGCGAAGCTCTTTCGATGATGATTAATGGGACGATGTGGGGAACATACTTTAGAATACCACTCCCCTCTTTCTTCCACCAAACACCGATCGATTGAAGCACACCAACAATCATGTCATACAGCAGAGTAGGAGTCGTTACCGGCGCCAACAAGGTACATCTACACGTCCACAGCCCCGTCGCAAGCACTAGACTAACATCCACAGGGTATCGGACGCGCCATCGTTCAGCAGCTCGCTCTGCAGTACCCCAAGTCGCCGCTCAACAACGGACCCTTCTTAATCTATCTGACGGCTCGCGACCAGGGCAGAGGAGAAGCTGCCGTCAAAGATTTGGAGCAAGATGCGGCATTGAAGCAAGCCAAGGCATTGAAGGCCGATGGCGGGCTCTCTGAGATCAAGTTCCACCTGCTTGACATCACAAGCAGCAGCAGCATCAAGACCCTTGCGGACCACTTGAAGCAGGCTCATGGAGACGGCATCGACTTCGTCATCAACAACGCTGGTATCGCGATGGACGGTTTCAGTGAGTATCTCTTTCCAATACACAGATCGCCATCGCTAACATAACTAGATGCCGACGTTGTCAAAACCACCCTCGACTGCAACTACTATAAGACGCTCGAAGCGTGCCACACCTTCCTCCCCCTCCTTAAGCCTACCGGTCGCATCGTAAACCTCGGCAGCATGGCTGGCAAGCTCAACAAATACTCCGAAGAAGTTCGCAACCGCTTCCTCGCCTCCAAGACCGAAGAAGACGTTACAAGCATCATGAAGGACTTTGTTGCTGCTGTCGAAGCTGGCAAGGAGAAGGACGCTGGCTTCCCTAGTGCCGGGTATGCCGTGAGCAAGGCGGGCTTGATTGGAGGCACACGGGCGCTAGCCAGGCAAGAGAAGGAGAAGGGAAGCAAGGTATTGATCAATACCTGCTGCCCAGGCTATGTCAACACTGATATGACGAAGGGTAAGCAACCCATTCCCTTGTATGCACGACATGAGGGACATATACTGACTCTATACACCAAATTTAGGCAACGGAACAAGGACTGTAGAAGAAGGCGCTCAAACCCCCGTAATGCTTGCGATCCACGACATTCAGAACAAGACAGGTACTTTCTGGCAGTACGAGAAAGAGATCGACTGGGTTGGTTAGAAGTATAAAAGAGCAGAAACAAATGGAAAGTCCACGATTCACATTGACTGGGGTCTCATTCGTGCTTGTGACTATTGAATTACGCGCTTACGCGCAGACAGTGCAGGTTAGGTACCTCTCCCAATGGCACGTTCTGCGCCACCGGTAACGCCCGCTCACATTCGTAACCTGGTAATATAAGTCTCACATATGACTGAAAGGCAAGATCTCACATCCACCCCCACGCGTCACATATCACACCGCATGGTAGGCGCCTAATCCGTTTCACATATACACTACGTTTATGTGAACAAGTTCTCCATTTCAAGAATGTTTACTTCCCTATTAAGCCGCCTTGGAGCTGGAAAAGCAAAACTCGGCGAAGTCCATTCGGCAAGCAACCTCTTCAATATGTACTTGGCTACTCTTACGTTCCTCTCAATTCTCACAACCTCGATCTCTGCGGCACCTACCAGACCACAGCCTCCCATTTGCGGCACTATATACCTACAGGGTGGTAAGACTCAGGTTAGCTATGGTGATGCTTGTTATGGGATCACGGGCAAAGCGCTATCAGCGACAGTGTCTGAGGCGTGTGGGTGTGACTTTTCACAGTAAGTCTTGTCGTATAGAAGACGTCGTGAAGTAAGGTGGGCTAATGGGGCTACAGATGGGATACATGCGACGCCGGGAAGCTGAAAGACAGGAGTATCACAGGGGTGCCTATCGCGGCGGCGAAGGGGTACTGGTGCAACCTGCATTAAGATGAAGCTCGTGGTGCCGAGAGAGGAGTTCTTTTCCCATTGTACTGTCCAAGTGAATTCATCGCTTTCATGTACAAAATGCTCATACCCATGGGGTCGGTTTTCCACTACGTCTCTTCTGGAGTATAATGAACACCAGGGTGGAATACTGCAAATACCATGAGGGTTCCGCATGACGCAAAGACACAATCCCACAAACTAAAGCTCCCTTGCAAGTCCACTCTGTGTCAGAAGTTTTTCGTAAAGCAAATAATCATGCCCGCCAGCATCCACCATGCCGTCCCTTTAGCATTTGTGATCTTCGTTACCGAGCATATGTGAGAGTGACGACCACTGGCTCTTGAGCTGCTCGAGCTTTTTCTGGGCGGTATCGTTCTTCTTCGCCATCTTTTTCTCGAGCGCCAATTTAGTTTCTAAGTCCTTGTAGTTCTGCTTCTGCGCCTTCAATACGCTCTTGATCCGTCGGAGGTCGTCGTGTGCGGTCTTCCAGGAGTTATGGTTGTTTTGAGCCAGAAGGGTCGCCGCAGCCAGCTCCTCCCTGATATCCAGCAGCTCTGTGTTGCTCTCGATCAGATCAGTCTCCATCGAGTCGAGTTCGCTCTTAGTAGACTCGAGCTCCTTTTCGGTTGTCTCAAGTTTGTTCTTTGTATCTTCAAGCTCTTGCATCATTTCCTCGAACATGGTATGCAACTTTGTTTGCGCGTTGTTGGAGCACTGGAGTTGTTGCTTCTGTGTATTCAGTTCAGCCATGTCATCTGGAAATGAATTTCCGATGAGGTTACTTACCGCTACTCGCAGACGGTCCACCGGTGTAGTCGCAATTCTGCTCTTGGGCTTGCCCTCCGAGTCTATTGAGATTTGCGTCTTTACTGCCATATTGAGTTCCTAGCTTCGGATTACGGTCCCGGGGATATTTGAATATTGCAATGTAATTGAAATAAGCTGATCAGGAGACCTATAGAGGGTGACGCTTTATAGTTCGGAGTGCTACTCAAGTGAAGCTAGATGTTGGCCGAGAAGCGGTAAAGAAATGCAGCGAAAGGACACCGTAGGTCAATGAACGATAGCATACTGACAGCTGCGAAGAAGGGGCGGTGAAGTAAAGGTAAAGCCCAACCATGATGTAGTAGTATCAAGGTAACCATGAGACATCACGCCTTACGGAAGTATGGCGTACATGGGAGAAGTGACCAAGATGACATATACTCTGCCAATAATATCCTTCACTTAAATTGCAGGAATTATGCACGAACCTGGGACTACTAATGGAGAGTAAATTGAAAATAACCATTGGGTTCTTCGAAAACGCGATGCTTCAAAGGTACCAAATGCGGTGGCGGACGGCTTGCAGCGCGGAAAGCCTTTGCGAGCCTAATGTACAGCAACACCTGTTCATAATTGCGCGTACCTTGAACTCTAACCGATAAACCACTCGCATTACTGCGATATCATTGAGGTCAAGGGCACTGCGATCAGATCATAGTAGTGACAGAGGAACTCTCAGCCTTCTTGGAAGAACGCCGATCGGAGGTCCCAGGCGCGCTAGCCTGATTAGCATCTTCCCACTGCCACAGAAATTGACGATGCCTCAAGCCCGTCGCAACGCTCGTCCATCTGAAATGCCTTCGCATCATAGGCGAGAATCTGTTGCATTGGCCATAGTCAGTAGGGCAAGTCGCCGCCGGGACTGTAGCCGAAAGACTGTCAGAAGGCGAGTCATGGAGGATGACGCTGCGGGGAAGGATCCCGTCAGGCACCTGTTGGATATTGTTCTCCGCATGAGCTTCCTCAGCCCAGGCTGTTCCAAGCAGCAGGTCTTTGCATGCAGAGCACAGCTGGCTAGCCAATGCCAGTATCTTAAAGAGATGCGGGCTGGTTCCGATGCGGTAGTATAGGTCTAAGGTACATATACCAAGGTGCGGCCTTCACGCGTCGCGTTGTTGCTTCTGCGAGCCTTTTATTGTGCATACCCTTGAACCCCTTATATCGACGTGCGACTTATACATAGATCATGGGAAACCACGCGCTGGTTTACGGTGCTTCTGGCATCTCAGGATGGGCCATCGTCAATGCCATCTTGAACGGATACCCTTCCAATGATGCTTTCTCGCGAGTAACAGCGATGGTCAACCGGCCACTCACACGAGAGATGGCTCTCTGGCCTGACGACCCGAGACTGCAAATAGTGTCGGGTGTTGATCTAGTCAAAGGGACACAAAAAGAGCTGGAGAAGCAGATCAAGGGAAAGGTCAAGGATGTTGAGACAGTGACGCAAGTGTACTTCTATTGTAAGTCAAAGCCGTCAGACGAAACCGCCAGGTCTGACATTACCAAGCATACAAGCAGATCGACGAACCAGAAGCCGAGTGCAAGACCAACGAAGCGATGCTGGAGCGCGCCGTGACCGCGATCGATCATCTCTCCTCCAAACTATCATACGTACTGCTTCCGACAGGAACCAAGATCTACGGGTGCCAGATGTTAGACAAGTTCCCGTTCGCGAACGACTTACCACTCAAGGAGACGCTGCCTCCGATTCCCGAACCATACCTTTCCCAGCTTTTCTACTACAACCAGATCGACTGCTTGAAACGCATCTCCAAGGGAAAGAACTGGAGCTGGTGCGAAGTTCGGCCAGACAACATCATTGGTTTCGTACCAAACAACAACGCGTATTGCCTTGCGCAAACACTGGCATTGTACCTCTCGCTATATCGATCTGTTGAGGGCGAAGGCGCAAAGTGCCCATTCCCTGGTACTGAGAAGTCGTGGGTGAACAAGTACAATGAATCCCCACAAGATATGGTTGCGCACTTCTCCATCCACGCGTCTTTGAACCCGGAAAAAACCGCTTCGCAAAGCTTTAACGTGGGTGGCCAGGAAGACAGCTGGAGCGGCAAGTGGCCGGTAATTTGTGATTACTTCGGTTTGAAGGGTACCGGACCTGAAGAGGGCTCACCACAGCCAGGCGCGTACATCGACGCGCACAAGAAGGAGTGGGAGGAGCTGGAGAAGAAGCACAATCTTAAGAAGGGAAGCGTCGATAGCGATATCACGCACCCCGGATTCCAGGTATGTCGGAAATCTGGTTGCGTCGTGTACGCGTGCAGTAGCTGACCAGTATTAGTACTTCATCATGACGATGTTCGACTTCGACCGCCAGATGAGCATGGAAGCTTCGCACAAGGTCGGATACACAGAGGAGATTGGGACGAAGGAAACGTGGACGACTGCGTTCGATCGCATGAGGAAAGCGAAAGTGATACCCTGATGCCGTGAAGGAAACTTTGGAAGAGTGTGTTGTGAGTGTTTAGGGGACCTTGAGGGTCCGGCAAGTGGCCCAGGTGGGCCTTCCAAGCTCGTGGCTGCTCGGGCCCCCGCGCCATCCCCATTGGCGAACACAACTTGTAGTTTCAATATATTCCTGTTTGATATGCGCGACTCTCAGCCAAAGTCTCACTGCTTATAAATAGCGCAAGGTCGGTGAATTACTAGAGCTATGACGCTAGCCGTCGGTCTCAGCTGGACTCCTGTTTGCTGCATCCCCACAATGCTATTGAAGCAGCACCATCTGGGCGACTGATGAACAGTCTCAATATCCTCCGATGCTCCCATCTGCGGGAGGTCCGCGAAACAAGATGGTTTTGAAGGGCTTGGGCGTAGTGGCCTTTTTCTGCATAGGTGCGTCGCGTCAGCGTTCCAAGGTTCCGGGCGCGTTAGACTCAACTACAGTTGTCGCAATGGCACTTCATGATGCTGCCCACATTAGACACCTGGATCTTCACTGTATGGTGCTAACATCTCCATAGTAATCCTGCTGCTGATGTCGAGCTTCCCTCACAAACGACCGGGCGCGAACCTCAACCTCCCACTACGCATACTCCCGCTCGGCGACTCGATAACCTGGGGTGGCCAGCCGGGTCAAGACAACGGGACAGATGGATACCGCGCGCAATTGATCCACGCGCTTATACGTGCGCGCTACGCCTCAGTGGACTTTGTCGGCACGCAGCGCTCTGGGCTCATGCCCAACAATGACAACGAGGGACACCCAGGGGCCACAATCAGCGAGCTTCAGGGCTTGATGAAAGCTGGACTTCAGATGCGACCGAATGTCATCTTGCTGCATATTGGCACGAACGATATGGCTCGCCCTGAAACTGCAGAAGAGAATTGGGCAGATGCACCGAAGCGTTTAGCAGCGCTGTTGGACGACGTGCTGGACGTATGCCCGGACGCTGCGGTACTTGTTGCGAAAATCATACAGGGAGCGGATACGCAGGCGAATGACAACATCAAGACGTTCAATGATGCCGTGCCTGCAGTTGTGAAGAAGAAGCTTGATCAAGGCTTCAAGGTTGCGGTCGTCGACCACAGCGTCGTCCTGCCCGAGGAGTTAGTTGATGGAATCCATCCGTGGGTGTTCCACGATTATCTTTGGCGTAGAAATACGTTTGCTAATCGAATCAGGTCCTATTCCGGATACTTTCACATGGGAAACATCTGGTTCGATGCTATCAAAGCTGCCAGTGGCCTAGGGGTCATAACGCCGCCCGTCGCGTTACACGAGATATAACCCCCGACGATCACACGCGTTCATGGCTGACATCTTATTAAAACTACCTACCACATCGAGCTTCACGAGACACGATACTCTCTGACAGTGGTGACAGGACGCACACTGCCTCTCAGGTTGCGCAGACATATGGGAGCTTGATTCTCGCTAGGCAATCAAGATTGTCAGACCGCGCACAGCAGAAGAACGAGCGCGCACGGTACCACGCTACAGGCGACTCCGTCCGGACCAGTCCTTACCAATAGAATGCAATTCGTCTTGCTTACTGTGCTACGCTCACGATTCAAGCCTGATCATGCCATTGCTATGCGCGAGTCGCATGCATCGGCCATACGCTCATTCGCTAGCCCCAATTGTGGAAACCTGCGCGGGGTCAACATGCGGGCAGGCGGGGCGCCCACGCTGCATCACGCTAAAGCATATCCAACCCCAACCATGGAAGTTTGCCCTTCTCACAGAAGGCGTGATCACTATTTACATGTCGGCAATATCTGCAAAGACGCCTCAGTGGAATGACAGATGCCGTGGAACACGACAATCTTGTTTGTAAGACTTCGCGGTTAGTCGGTTAAGATTGTCAGACGCTTTTGGCAAGTGTTCGTTGCAACTCTGCATATATGGCGTCGGATATGCTTTGGCGAGCTGCTGCCGCTATGGCAGCGACGGATGACTACGCGTTGTAGTGCATGTAGCGTCATGGTCACAGGGATCGGTCGGCTTTGGTATATCTCAATCGTCGTGCGGTTCGTTTTTGGCCAGCCTTACTTCATTCGTCTCTGCTTGGCCGTTGCTCTCTGTCCTCAATTCCTCGTTGTAGACACGACTGAATAGAGAGTGAGCATCACCATGGGTTTCGTAGACGAGGATCGCGTCCGACTGGTCGCGATCTGGGCACCCGCTGCAGTACGTCTTTCAGCTCTTCTCTTGACATTGATCTGACAGGTCTAGTTCGTCGCATACGTAGTCTTGACGGCAATCTACAATCTCACACTTCACCCTCTTGCCAAATACCCCGGACCGCTCTTATGGCGCATCTCGCCCATTCCCTCGATAATCTCCCTGTTACGCGGCCGCATCGCCTTCGACTACAAGATCCACCACGACAAATATGGGCCCGTAGTGCGCGTCATGCCCAATGAGCTCTCCTTTAACACAGCAAAAGCATGGGACGATATTTACGGACATCGGGTCGGGCTTGCGAACATGGACAAAGACCCTATCCATGTCGGCGCGGTAGAAGCGATTCCAGGCGCAACGAACCTGACCATGGCACCGGATATCCACCATGCGAGGCAGAGAA